CTGAATATGCTACCATCAAAGTGAATTAGCCAATCCACCCAAAGCAAATGGAAAAATGCATTTTGTTTTCTGTGACATTTTTCTGCTCGTGTAACCTTTAAATTTATTTTAAATTAAAATAAAATGTGCTTGCAAATTTGCAAATAAATTAAAATGGAAATAAATAAAGCTTCTGCTGAAATTGCTGAGCTCATCTCTTCATTTATTTCATCACTGTTTTCCATGTCAAATATTTCAGTATCTCTCATTATCACTATTTTTCTGTTCATCAATCTGTTGATGTGACTTTGTCACAATGCATCTTTCACTTAAATTCTTAAACAGAGCTTTTTCTTGACAGACTCAGTTTCCCAGGGTGCCATGCAGCAGTGGCTCATCTTCATATTCCAATGGTGTTACTGTCTAATGCATGGAAATCTGCTTAGTTTTCATTTTGCTGTATTGATCTCTCTCTCTCTCTCTCTCTCTCTCTCTCTCTCTCTCTCTCTCTCTCTATGTTAGAGGAGGAACATTTACAGTACAGCAGTGGGACCATGTATGTTCTAACATTATATTATATGAATGAGTTTACTGAAATGTAATGTTGGTTCAGTTTTTGACATTGTAACAGATTAGCATAAAGCTTCTTATGGTCAGGTTTTAAGGGTCCAGTCTGTTAGGATTGTAGGATTGATGAAGAGACTAGTTTGAGTGAGGTGTTTGTTTAATATAGAATATCTGGATCAGTTTTCAGTTTATACATATCATCACTGTCCAGTGAGCAGTCCTCCTTTACATTGTGTGACAATTTCCTGATGAACAGACCAACAGAATTATTTCAAAATCAGCTGGAATAGAATATCTTTACATTAACTTACATTAAAATAATACATGTTTTTTCCTTGTTCTGAAAAGTTTTTATTTGGTATATATTGTTTTCTAGGGTGGCGATGATATGGGTGTTTTTATATGGACAGTAGCTGGGTTAAAGTTTCTTTAGGACATTATTAAATGATGCATCATGAGGAAATAGTAAGTGTTCTCACAACTTCAAGTAGCAAATCTTCACGCCATCATGTCAATCATGTGGGTGGGGGTGTAAGTTGGGGTGTGTGTGGTTTAGTGACGCACACAATGCTGTTGGTTCTCATGCATTTACATATATTATATATATATATATATATATATATATATATATATATATATATATATATATATATGACATACCACATATCATACTGTTCCAAAGTCCCTCTTTTATGTGAACACATTTTCAGTATATCAAAATAAAAGGCATTTATTCCTCTCAAATTCAGCCATATATGCGGATAAAGTAAACTATTAAAAAGAGCAATAAAAATCTAAATTAAAAAGATAAATAGACCAGCTTTAAAAATTAGCAACTCATTAAATTCTGTTTTCCTCAAAAACCCGCTGACAATAATTTATTTGATTAACATTAAGAGATACATTGTTGTCTTTGCATCAGTCTGCAAGCAGCTCTGCCTCCTGCCTGTTTGCTGACTCATCATTGTTGCTGATATGACCCACCACTACGATGACATCAGCAAACTTGAGCATGTGATCTGAGCTATGCTTTGCAGCACAGTCAAGAGTCAGCAGTGTGAGTAGTAGGGGACTTAGCACACAGGCCTGGTCAGCGCCGGTGTTCAGTGTCGTGGTGCTGGAGGTGGTCTTGCTGATCCTAACAAACAGAGGTCTTCCAGTCAGGAAGTCCAGGATCCAGTTGCAGAGGGAGATGTTCATGCCCAGCACGCTCAGCCTTTCAATAAGCCGCTGTGGCATGATTATGTTGAATGCTGAAATAAATCATGAACCATATTTTTGATCAGTATATGTGCACATAATGGTTATTTCAAGACTTAATGCTGTGAGATAATACAGATATGTTATGACCCAGTCTAGGGTGAGGCAAAATGAGACAAAAATGACAAAAGGTTCTTAACCTCTTAAAATTTCAAGCTTATTATATATTAAGTCTTATTATTCTGTAACTACAGGGACTTTAATGCAAACTGACTGAGCTATTCTTAAGTTATAGAAGTGTGTAATAAAATTCTGGGTCCGCTGGTGGGCTATGGAAGGGGTTAATAGCCAATACAAAGTTTTTTATGAAAATCCAGTGCAAACACTAGTTGGACCTCAGGTTTGGCCAAGGCCAAAACAACAAACAAAACCCGCACAAATTAAAGTCACCAAAACAAAATAATAAAATAAAGGACGAACAACTGACAAACAAAACACAAACAAAACCTGAAACCCAAACAAAGTGGCAGACTAGACTAAATCAAAAACAAACCAGAGTCAGAAGACTAAACAGTCAAAAATTACTCAAGCAAATAACAAACAAATGGCCGAGTCGAAGCAGAAAAAAGGAAAATCATGCAGTGTGAATAAATGGACTGGAGTATGGACCGGAATGAGTAGTGAGAGCAGAAGACCTGGACTGGATCATGGAATGATGCTAAAAGCTGCTTGTACTTTTACTACTTTTCTTTCTGCTTTTAAAGCTGTTCATTATTTAAGTTGTACTGCTAATGACACCATTGCCATGAAATACATAATTACATTGATATTATGAATTTTCTGCTCCATATCTTCTGTAAAAGTTCCACTCTCTCTTGTTCTGTCATCACAGATCCACAGACTGTCACTTTTCTACTAATCTAACCTAAACTTACTTTCCGGAATAAAAATCAACACTTCCAGCTCCATACAGAAATTCTTTATGATGCTTTTGTTTGGCTGTAAGTGCAGCAACTATGGAAGCTAATTTTGTTCATTAATGTTGTTTTTTGTTCAAAATGTCCTGAAATTGTTTTAAAAACTTAAAACAGGACTGAAAACAGACCTACTCACTAACTTATTTGTTTGTTATTTACTAATGATTTTGTGAGACCACACTGTAAATGAATGTGTACTGAAAAAAGTTTCACTGGAGCAGATGCAGATGTGGGGATCCAAATTACCTGCGATAACTGCCGCCTTGTGATTAGACGAGATACAAAATGGACCGCCTGCTTAGAGCGAGGTGTTCTAAGCATGTGTTGGTGGAGACTGCATGTGCAGTACACAGTGCTTTAAATACTGAGCCTGCACATTCTGTATAGTCCTTGTTGTGCCTTCCTGAAAGTAATTTTTGTTATTTTCTATGTTCTGCTGTGTCCTGTGTATTTGATTGTCTTTCTTAGGCTAATTTTATTTTTAATGCTATCATGACAAAAAAATGGTTAAAGAATGACATTTGACACTGAAATAAGAAAGTCTTTGAATAAACATTTGTTTTGGTATGCCATGTATGTGTAACTAAAGCACTCTGGGTCACTCATGCTGTGTCTCTGAGGCCTTGTCTAGTTTCTAGTCAGCGTAGCCCTGCCTCTCTCCTATCCACAGCCCCACTTAATGCTGTTATAGCTACCACAAAATGGAGACGTAGACCACATAGATGTTTTACAGTAATGAGATTATATCTCAAATCCATGAAAGGACCAGAGAGAACAACTAGCAAACCACAGAAAGCAGAGCTGATAGTTTAAAAATAAACATAAGATGCAGAAAAGTACGAGATCAGAGCTGCACACAACTTTAAGAGATTATATTAGAGACTACAGCTACAAACCAGTATAACACTGCCAGACAGAATAGAGGATTGGAAGAGAGCAGATGAACTGCCAGCAGAACATACACTATATGGACAAAAGTATTGGGACACCCCTCCTAATTCTGGTGTTTCAGCAACACCCATTGCTAACAATTAGATCAAATTAAGCACATAGCCTTGCAGTCTCGATAGACAAACACTGGCAGTAGAATGGGTCATAACGACAAGCTCAGTGACTTTAAACATGGTGCTGTCATAGGATGGCACCTCTACCACTACTAAGTCAGTTTGTGAAATTTCTGCCCTGCTAGATCTGCCCCTGTCAACTGTAAGTGCTATTATCATGAAATGGAAGCAACAAGAGTTTAGCCACGAAGTGGTCGACCACGCAAACTCACAATGCGGGGCCGCCGAGTGCTGAAGCGCTGAATCACTCACTAAAGAGTTCCAATTTGCCTCTGGAAACAACATCAGCAGAAGAACTGCACATTACAGTAGGAGCTTCACGAAATGGGTTTCCATGGCATGGCTGAGCAGCTACTCAAGGCTAGGATCAAATTGCACTATGCCAAACGTTGGGGGTGGTGGTGTAAAGCCTGCACAGAGCCCTGATCTCAAGCCCATTCTAGTGTATATGGTATCACTCTCCTGGAATACCTGTAGGACTGGAGAGTATAAAGGAAAAAGTGGTAAATGACAGTTCAAGGTAACCAAACATGAAAGCAAGCAAGCTAATACATAAAAAGAAAAGGCTAAAGACAGATGTAAACTGGGAAGAATATCCCTGCTAGAAAAACCTGCATGTGTTGCATTTTGGATGCTGCTCTGCTGGTCAGCAGTAAAAGAAGTTATAATGCTGGCCACCAAACACACAGCCTATGTAGCATTGTGTTTTAATGCTGGTGTTCTGATATGCTACAAATCCATAGCAAATAAAACTCCTGAAACATTGTCAGCACACTAATGAATATGTGGGGATGTGATGTGCTCAAGTAACACATTGCTGCAGAATGTGGCTAAAAGCTGTAACAAAGCTCACATGATCTAAATCTGATATGCTGATATGCATCGCATGCCAATTCACAGAGCTTGACTTTAGATCCAACATTTTCAGTTCTCTGCTCCTCTGTTTGGGAACCACACTTTTAGCTCTCATGAGTACAGGAGTAAACGCCAGATGTATTTTTGGAAAACTTTACCCCCCCAAACCATGATCACAGGAAATTGGGCAGTGTGTCCTGGGAAACAATGTACCACAAAAGAGGAAACAATATGTGTTATCATGACCCAGAGGAAACCACATGGCTGGGTGTGTTTTGATCAAGCTGCTGATAAAATCAGATGATTTTCAGTCTAGCTGATTTGGGCACAGCTCCTGTGAGCTGCATGGGCATTAGAGTGGGTTAGACTCCAGTGAAGAGCTGCTGAGAGAGCTGTGTACTCAGTGTGGTATACAGGGCTAGTGTAGTGCTGGGTGTGGAGCTGTCAGTGTGCTGTGAACTCAGTGTTGTTTTACTAGTGAGAATGTTGCTGACTTTCTATCTTCTCTTCATTGGGCTTCATGTCTCTGAAGGTGAGTGCCAGATCTTCTCTTGTTCACCATGAGATAAATTTGAAGTATGTCCCCTTTTACCATTTGCACTGACTTCAAAGAAACACATTTGTTAAGCTAAGTTATAAGTTCATATTTGTGTTTCTGCAGGCTGCACTCTGGAAAACATTAGAACATCATCATATATTGTAGCACATACAGGAGGGTCAGTACTGCTGCCCTGCTACTGCACGGACCTACACACCAAACCTGACACATTCAGCTGGAAGAAATACAACAAAAATGCATTCACATGGGAAGTGATATCCAGTGAGAGTGGTCAGTACAGAAACAGAGTTCAGCTGGTTAATGGTCACTCTCCAGGAAATCTCTCTCTACTCATATCACACCTGACTGAAGAGGATGGAGGGGATTACAGGTGTGATGATTCTATAGCACAATATCTATACATCAGACTCACCATTCAAGGTAAAACACTATTTGTATCTGTATTCATAATCCAACGTAAATTTCAAAATTCAGTTTGTCAGTGAACCAACTCTACAGTGTTTTATTTCAAACATGTTTTCATTACAATGTAATACTCCGAGGTCATTAGAGTGTGGCGGATTATATCATAGTTGTGGTGAGAGCTCTGTAGTGAGGATGTGTGTAGAGTAGCTGTGTGTGGCTAGTTATTCTAGTGTGTTTTTTTACTCATGGGAATTTCTTGTTTGCATTCTTGTGACTGAAGGCCAGTGTACTTTTTTTTCCTCCTTTTAGTTTGGATGTGTAAATCATTCAGGCAAAAACTGCTTATATTATAAACAGCTTTTTTTCCCTCTTTTCCACAAATTGTACACAAATACAGCTGTGGTATAACTACACAGTCATGTTGAGTATGTTATTCATAGAGATCATTTGGTTTGATTTTTTTTTTAAATCTTTTATATAGGAACCACTATGCTCAGTCTTGCTTGTGCTAAGCTTTCACTTTCACTTGTAATGTATTTGAAAGTAGCATAACAATATTGAGCCATCAAAGTTTTCCTGGCTAGGCTTCACCCCATCCTGTCACTCCAGTCTTGCCTCAGTTCTACATTAGTCTTGCCACCTTGTCATCCTTTTGTGCTTTGTTTGTAACCAGGGGTAGAATGGTCCGGTTTTACTGGGGGAACCCTAAGATTTATTTATTTGTTCATTCATTCATTCATTCATTCCTTCCAAACTTCCAAATGCCCATTTCTGGTCTCCTAGGCATTTTCATTGCACCTTGTAATCATTAAGCTTGGATTTGGGATTCCTCTGTATAAAGCCAGTTCATTCTGCAACTTCAGCCTCCTTATGCTTGGTTAACATCACCATGAGTTCTATATAGAACCACACACACACTAAACCGCTTATCCTGGGTCGCAGGGGGAGCTGGAGCTTATCCCAGCAGTCTTTGGGTGGAAGGCAGGATACACCCTGGACAGGTCACCAGTCCATCACAGGGCAGACAGACAGACATACACATTCACACACACACTCACACCTAGGGGCAATTTAGCGTGTCCAATTGGCCTGACTGCATGTCTTTGAACTGTGGGAGGAAACCCACATAGACGCAGGGAACACATGCAAACTCCACACAGAAAGGACCCCGGTTGCCCGGTTGGGGAATCGAACCCAGATCCTTTTTGCTGTGAGGTTCTATATAGAATCTTTTTGAAAAAGGGTAAAAAAGGGTTCTATATAGCACCAAAATAGTTCTGTCATAGTTACAGTGTCACTTTTTGGTGCTATATAGAACCATATACAACACATGCTCCATCAATCTGAAGAACCATTTCACCATGCAAAGAACTGCTTAAGCATGCAATATTTCTACATAGAGCACATAATTCTAAACAGAACCATTCCTTGTACTAAAGAACCCTTGAAGAATATTCTTTTTTTAACAGTGTAGACTGTTTTTGAGATCTGAGTAGGACCGGCATTCTGTCTCATCTTGCACTCCCAAAATGGGGTTTCGGTCATATCGGTCATCACCCATGTTTGTAACATTTCATTTTATCCAAGAATCCCAGCCATGCCTTGTTTGATGTCTGTCTGCATGTTTCTTGTTTTTCAAGAGACCCACACATTTTCTTTTAAGTCAAGTAAACTCAGATAAACAGATGTTGCTATGCCTTTTAAGGATGCTGCAAATTTGTTTGAATATCAGCAAAAGTTATCAGTGCTGGAGGGCGGCCAGTTACTTCCTCAGCTCAAGTCTTTCCTGGCAAACAGATCCGTATCAGATGAAGAGCAAATCTTTCCACACAGCTTCTGCAGCTGAGAATGATCTTAAGAAGAGGGTTTAGTATATTAGTGCTGGCTTATATTACTAACAGCATCACACAAAGAGAGAATGTGATTAACCTTGTCTTACTCGTTTGTGTTTCTGCAGACTGCACTTTGGTAAAAAATGAAAACGAAACTTTCATCAAAGCCCATACAAGAGGGTCAGCACTGCTGCCCTGCTACTGCACTGACCTACATAACAAACCTAAGAGATTCACCTGGAAGAAATACAACTCAACCAGACACAGATGGGAAGAGATATCCAGTGAGAGTGGTCAGTACAGAGACAGAGTTCAGCTGGTTAATGTTCACTCTCCAGGAAATCTCTCTCTACTCATATCACATCTGACTGAAGAGGATGAAGGAGATTACAGATGTCATGCAGAGGGAATTGAACAGACAGACATCAGACTCACTGTTGAAGGTAAAACACTATTTGTATCTGCATTTTTACATTACATAACTTTGATCACTTGTCATGGTGAGGCTGTGTCTTACAGAAGCCCTGAAGGAAAAGATGAAAAAAAGAAAGAAATTAAGTACATTTGTGAGTCTAAGCTCTATTTTAAATATATAACACACCAAAAACAGCCAAAACATATTAAGAATTAATTTTATTGCAGAGCTGTTATAATCAACATATAAAAAAAATCACCTCTAACTGTATGATGACCAGTTCTCTAGTTGCCTCTTGAATTGAAGTCTATTGAAATGAATCGCCCCCTTGTGGTTGAAGCTAGGATGGCATGCTAATTGTTAGCCAGTTAGCTCCCTAGTATTTTTTTTTTCTTTTTTAATTAAAATCATGATAAATCTAAATATTTTAAATTTGCTATTAAATAAATCAAAACAGTCTATAAAAATATAACAAAATATAACCAAATGTTGAGAATTGTTATCACAAGTGTAAATTTAGTTTAGGGTTTGGGCCAGTCACCTCCCAATAGAAAGTACTCCATAAATTATAATGTTGTATATATTTTACTTATTACTATCTTAATTAATGCCTTGAGTTTAACAACATCATAACTTAATCCTTGTAAATATCTATGTAATATATTTAATCTATGTATGTATCTATATCTGGTTGTCTCTAGTCTTTTACGTCACTGTGGAGGAATTTTGACCCACTCCATTTTGTAGAATTGTCTTAATTCAGATACATTGGAGGGTTTTTGCGCATGAACTGCCCATTTAAGGTCTTGCCACAGCATCTTAATGGGATTCAAGTCAAGACTTTGACTCGGCCACTGCAAAACCTTAATTTTGTGTGTTTTGAGCCATTCAAAGGTGGAAAGGTGTGCTTTGAATCATTGTCTTGCTGCATAACCCAACTGTGCTTGAGCTTTAGGTCATGATCTCATGGGTGGACATTCTCCTTCAGGATTTTCTGATAGAGAGCAGAATTCATGGTTCCATCAATTATAACAAGTCATCCAGGTCCTGCAGAAGCAAAGCAGCTCCAGACCTTCACACTACCACCACCATGTTTGACTGTTGGTATGATGTTCTTATGGTGGACTGCGTGTTGGCTTTACATCAGATGTAACAGGAACCATGTCTTATAAAAAGTTCCATATTTGACTCATCAGTGCATGGAATATTTTCTATCAGGGTAATACCCCCAACTCTTGGGGGTCATCTACAAGTTTCTGGGAAATACAAGATGAGCCTTTGAGTTCTTTTTGGTCAGAAGTGGTTTGCGCCTTGCAACTCTCCTATGGATGCCTTTCGTATTGTGGAATCATGTACATTGACCTTAACTGAAGCGAGTGAGGCCTACAGTTCTTCAGATGGTCATCTGGGTTTTTTATGACCTCCTGGATGAGTCATTGATGTGTTCTTGTAGAAATTTTGGTAGGCTGGCCACTCCTGGGAAGGTTCACCACTGTTCCAAGTTTCTGTTTGTGGATAATGACTCTCACTGTGATTTGATAGAGTCCCAGAGCCTCAGCAGTGGCTTTGTAACATTTTCCAGACTGGAAGGTTTCTTTTTTGCGTCTGTATTTGAATCTCTTTAAAATGTAGCTTCATGAGCTGCTTTCTGAGACCTTCTAGTCTGCTTCACATTGCCAGACAGGTTCTATTTAAGGGATGTGTAGATTCAACAGGTTTGGCCTTGATCATGCCTGGGTGTGGCTAGTGAAACTGAATGCAATGGTCAGTTGAAGTTTGTTAACTGCTTGATTTAGGGGGATGTTTTGTACATTAAGGCCAGGTAGGGATGGACTGTTTTCCTTCAATAAATGAAATAGTCATTTAAAAACAGCGTTCTGTGTTTATTTGGGTTATCTTTGTCTAATACTAAAAATAGGGCAAATACTTTTTCACAGCACTGTGTATGAGGATAAATTGGTGTGAGGATACAAACTGGCCTTACCAAAAGGCTCACTGTAGAAGGTTAAACCTTATTTGAATATGTATTTATACTGTCAGATCCAAACTAACTGACCTAACTGACCATTTTTTATGTATTCATGAAGAATATCTGCTGTTATAGCTTTACTATAATTGTATGTTCATATTGAATTGGTCTCTAAAGATTATTTTTTATACATAGTCACACATTATTGTGGTGGTCCACTATAAAATATTTAAATTTTTAATTTATTTATTTAACTTCATTTAGTTGCATTTAGTGGGTGGCACAGTGGTGCAGTGGGTAGCCTCACAGCAAGAAGGGCCTGGGTTTAATTCCCTGGTCGGGCAACCAGGGTCCTTTCTGTGTAGAGTTTGCATGTTCCCCCTTGGTCTACGGGTCTGGGTTTCCTCCCACAGTCCAAAGACATGCAGTCAGGCCACACTAAATTGCTTAGAAGGTGTGTGTGTGCGCATTTAGTGAACATTTGGTTAACTGTTACTTAAAGACCAACTGAGCATCTACAACCTACAGCATCTACAATGGACCAGCAATATAAAGTGTATCTGTACATTTTAATGAAGGCTGTTCTGGTCATTTACAATAAAAGGTGTTCATGTTACTGTGTATCTACAGTGAGCTGTTCACTGCTGTTCTGTTCCTGCACTGACTATTAAACTCTTCTCTCTCTACAGAGGGACCACCAACAACTACAACACCTACTGCAGTCGTCAACAGCCAAACCATTTCAGTCATTTCATTTGCAAGTTACTCGCAAACACCTGATTGTAAGTACAGCACACTGACTGAAGCTGAGCTTAAGATATTACTGCTTTATTTTATTTTTGTGGGATATCTTTCTTTTTATACATGTATTTGAAAAAAAAACATGTAACAACTTCATATAAAAAGAGAATGTGATTAAAATTTTCTTACTGATGTTTCTGCAGTCTGCACTTTGGTAAAAAATGAAAATGGATCATTTATTAAAGACCACACAGGAGGGTCAGTACTGCTGCCCTGCTACTGCACTGACCTACACACCACACCTGAGAGATTCACGTGGCAGAAACTCAACAAAACCACAAACACATGGGAGGAGATATCCAGTGACAGTGGTCAGTACAGAAACAGAGTTCAGCTGGTTAATGGTCACTCTCCAGGAAATCTCTCTCTACTCATATCACACCTGACTGAAGAGGATGGAGGAGTGTACAGGTGTCACATTAGAGCACATGAACACACAGACATCAGACTCACTGTTGAAGGTAAAACACTGTTTAAATCTTCTTTAATTTGTTGATCAACTTCATCTATTGTTGTGGTAAGATTCCATTATACGGAAGGCCTGAAGGGTAAGATGCAAAAGCTAATTCTAAGCTGTACTTTATTTTTTTTTCTGCCTGTATTAAATACCATAAACAACCAAAAATATTAGGAATTGGATTCCTTACAGAGCTGTTATTAAACATTTATATAAAAAAGAGCTACTGAAGATTTTAATTCACTGTAACTGTATGATAATCAGTTCTCTAGTTGTCTCTTGATTGGAAGTCCTTAGAACTGAACTGTCCCCTTGTGGATGAAGCTGGTGTGGCATGGTAATTGTTAGCCAGTTAGCTCACCAGTATAAATATATATATATATATATATATATATATATATATATATATATATATATATATATATATATATATATATATATATTTGGCCTGGTTTATAAAAGGCAAACAGGAAAAAAAAAACAACAACAAACACTGGACAAATGAAGATGGTATAGCATGCTAATTTTTAGCCACATAGCTGCCCAGTGTAGCCAATATTTTTTCATATATTAGTGGAAAAAATAATGAGAAAATTTTTATTTTTATTTATTTTTTGGGGGAGTTGCTAATGGCTGAAATGTACAACTGATACTAGATGTTTTTACTGATTGTTGTTAAACTTAAGAAGAATGCAGTTACTGTATTTCCATAGCTTTGTGTAGGAGTAGGTGTAGGTTTAGTGTTGAAGTTAAGGTTAGGGTTAGGTTTAGGAGTAGGTTTAGTGTTGAAGTTAAGATTAGGGTTAGGTTTAGGAGTAGGTGCAGGTTTAGTGTTGAAGTTGAGGTTAGGGTTAGGTTTAGGAGTAGGTGTAGGTTTAGTGTTGAAGTTAAGGTTAGGGTTAGGTTTAGGGTTAGGTTTAGGTTTAGTGTTGAAGTTAAGGTTAGGGTTAGGTTTAGGAGTAGGTGCAGGTTTAGTGTTGAAGTTGAGGTTAGGGTTAGGTTTAGGAGTAGGATTAGTGTTGAGGTTAAGGTTAGGGTTAGGTTTAAGAGTAAGTGTAGGTTTAGTGTTGAAGTTGAGGTTAGGGTTAGGTTTAGGAGTAAGTGTAGGTTTAGTGTTGAATTTGAGTTTAGGGTAGGTTTAGAAGTAGGTGTAGGTTTAGTGTTGAAGTTAAGGTTAGGATTAGATTTAGGAGTAAGTGTAGGTTTAGTGTTGAAGTTGAGGTTAGAGTTAGGTTTAGGAGTAGGATTAGTGTTGAAGTTAAGGTTAGGTTTAGGTTTAATTTAAAATGTAAAAGAATCTATCACACTTCATTTGTTGCACTTAGTAAACTTGAATGTTATTGAAAGACTGGCTGACCATTGAAAACCTACCTCATTTACAGTGATCCATAAAAACAAAGTCTAACTGTAAAATGTAATAAAAGCTGTTCTGATCATTTACAGTAAAAGATGTTTATGTTACTGTATATATACAGTGATCTGCCCATTGATGTTCTGTTACTGCACTGACCATGAAACCCTTCTATCTCCTGTTTTAGGCTCACCTAAAACTACAGCATCTACTGCAGTCGTCCACAGCCAAACCATAACCAGCACTTCAACTTCAAGCTACCCACAAGTGTCCTGATTGTAAGCACAGCACACTGACAGCCACTGAGCTCAATATGTTACTGCTTTATTTTATTTTTATGTGATATTTTTTGTTTCTATCCATGTATTTGACAAAAACAAAAAACTTTTAACAATTTGACCCAAAGATAGACTGTAAGTAACCTTCTCTTACTGATGTCTCTGCAGACTGCACTCTGATAAAAAATGAAAATGGATCCTTTATCAAAGCTCATACAGGAGGGTCAGTCCTGCTGCCCTGCTACTGCACTGACCTACACACCAAACCTGGGAGATTCACATGGAAGAAACTCGACACAACCAGAAGCACATGGGAAGTGATATCCATTGAGAGTGGTCAGTACAGAAACAGAGTTCAGCTGGTTAATGGTCACTCTCCAGGAAATCTCTCTCTACTCATATCACACCTGACTGAAGAGGATGGAGGAGATTACAGGTGTGACATTAGAGCAGATGAACACACAGACATCAGACTCACTGTTGAAGGTAAAGCACTTGTTAAATTCCACGTCTAAATTTTTTAACTTCTTGATCAACTTGATCACATGTTATGGTGGGTCGTACATTCCTGAGTCTAAGCTCTACTTTCTTTACCTTTCCTGTCTGTGTAACACACCAAAACAGAGAAACATATCAAGAGGTTTTTTTACAGTTCTTTTAAAATCAACATTTGTAAAAAAGAACTAGGGAACATTTGCATTCACTGTAACTGTACGATGACCAGTTCTCTAGTTGCATCTTTATTGGAAGTCTATTCCCCTTGTGTTTAAAACTGTGATAAGCAGAACTACTTCATTGTTTCTGAGACAATAGTCGTAATATTATAAAACTCTACAATGGTTTAAGGTTTAAAGGAATTTGGTGTGATATGTTGAAGTTATTAAGCTGGACGGGGCATCTTTCCCCTATAACTTATAAAACACAAACAAAAAAAAAAGGTTGTTTTCATGATTTTACTGTTTATTAACTTAAATTTTGTAATAGCTACAAAACATTCAGGTTATTTTTTAGACTTTTTCAAAGTATTACCATCATTTCATTACTTTATCACCAACTTGGTGCCCATAACATTACTTATTATTCAGTAAAAGCTACCAGTATGTGAGATGGCTTTTTGACCACTTCTGCTGCCCAATCATCTTAAAATTAACAATATATAAAGGACACCAACAGCATGCATCATATATAACTGTTCTGTTTAATCTTTCTTAGTTTATGAACAATGATTGGTATTTTGAATTAGATCATACAAAGCTGTTGGCTGATTCCACATACTTAAAATAAAAAACTGTAATCAAAATGTCATATAAAGAGTATATAATTAATCTGATCCCACTGATGTGTGTTTCTACAGGCTGCACTCTGGTGAACCATGGAAAAGTACTGAGTTTCACAGCACATAAAGGAGGGTCAGTATTGCTGCCCTGCTCCTGCACTGACCTACACACCAAACCTGAGACATTCAGCTGGAAGAAAGAGAACAGACACACAAAAAGAACGGAAGAGATATCCAGCGAGAGTGGTCAGTACAGAAACAGAGTTCAGCTGGTTAATGGTCACTCTCCAGGAAATCTCTCTCTACTCATATCACACCTGACTGAAGAGGATGGAGGAGTGTACACCTGTGCTGTTAAAGGTTCACATATAAACATCAAACTCACTTTACGAGGTAAGACACTGAGGTAATTTTACTGTGCTCATTAATATTGAGAAATGCTGAAACAAAACATTTTGTTTTTTCTGCAAACTCTTTATGGATCATTCTACCAAACATGTTTAAAATCAGAGTTGAAGCAAAATGTCAGTCTTTTAAATTGGACTTAAGACTAAAATCCTTTAACTTTGAGTGAACCTAGACCTTGATTATGCTTATTTTATTAAAAAAATAAATAATTGACCACACACTTTATCACTAACCAAACAATCATAACACTACTAAAGATTTACCAAACTTTTCTGTACTGATTATTTCTGTAGTGATAATTTTAGCTAGAACGTCATTTTATGACTAGCAATCAGAACTATGAACAGTTGGACACATAAAATTATGGTATTTTTCATTAAGACACAAAAAAGTTCTTACTTGCAGAAAACATGTTCTGATCATTTACAGTAAAAGGTGTTTATGTTACTGTATATATACAGTAATCTGCCCATTGATGTTCTGTTACTGCACTGACCATGAAACCCTTCTATCTCTAGTTTTAGGCCCACCTAAAACTACAGCATCTACTGCAGTCGTCCACAGCCAAACCATAACCAGCACTTCAACTTCAAGCTACCCACAAGTGTCTGATTGTAAGCACAGCACACTGACAGCCGCTGAGCTCAATATGTTACTGCTTTATTTTATTTTTATTGTGGGATATTTTTTGTTTCTATCCATGTATTTAAAACAAAACAACACAAAACAAAACAAAAAAAAAAAAAACTTTTAACAATATGACCCAAAGATAGACTGTAAGTAACCTTCTCTTACTGATGTTTCTGCAGACTGCACTCTGATAAAAAATGAAAATGGATCCTTTATCAAAGCTCATACAGGAGGGTCAGTCCTGCTGCCCTGCTACTGTACTGACCTACACACCAAACCTGAGAGATTCAGCTGGAACAAACTTAACCCTACCAGAAACAGATGGGAAGTAATATCCAGTGAGAGTGGTCAGTACAGAGACAGAATTCAGCTGGTTAATGGTCACTCTCCAGGAAATCTCTCTCTACTCATATCACACCTGATTGAAGAGGATGGAGGAGTGTACAGGTGTGACATTAGAGCACATGAACACACAGACATCAGACTCTCTGTTGAAGGTAAAACACTGTTTAAATCTACATTTTTTAATTCCACATGTCTCAATTTTTTAACTTCTTGATCAACTTGATCACATGTTATGGTGGGTCGTACATTCCTGAGTCTAAGCTTTACTTTCTTTACCTTTTCTGTCTGTTTAACACACCAAAACAGAGAAACATATCAAGAATAGAGTTTTTTTACAGTTCTTTTATCATCAACATTTGTAAAAAAGAACTAGGGAATATTTGCATTCACTGTAACTGTATGATGACCAGTTCTTTAGTTGCATCTTTATTGGAAGTCTATTCCCCTTGTGTTTGAAGCTGTGATAGCATGCTAATTGTTAGTCAGTTAGCTCCCCAGTAATGCCTTATTTTGCAGTTACTTTTAAGCAGAACTACTTCATTGTTTCTGGGACAATAGTCATAATATTATAAAACTCTACAATGGTTTAAGGTTTAAAGGAATTTGGTGTGATATGTTGAAGTTATTAAGCTGGACGGGTCGTATTTCCCCTATAACTTATAAAACACAAACTAAAAAAAAAAGGTTGTTTTCATGATTTTACTGTTTATTAACTTTTTGTAATAGCTACAAAACATTCAGGTTATTTTTAGATTTTTTCAAAGTATTACCATCATTTCATTACTTTATCACCAACTTGGTGCCCATAAAATTACTTATTATTCAGTAACAGCTACCAGTATGTGAGATGGCTTTTTGACCACTTCTGCTGCCCAATCATCTTAAAATTAACAATATATAAAGGACACCAACAGCATGCATCATATATAACTGTTCTGTTTTATCTTTCTTAGTTTATGAACAATAATTGATATTTTGAATTTGATCATACAAAGCTGTTGGTTGATGCCACATACTTAAAATAAAAACTGTAATCAAAATGTCATATAAATAGTATATAATTAATCTGATCCCACTAATGTGTGTTTCTACAGGCTGCACTCTGGTGAAAAATGAAAAAGTACTGAGTATCACAGCACATAAAGGAGGGTCAGTACTGCTGCCCTGCTCCTGCACTGACCTACACACCAAACCTGAGACATTCAGCTGGAAGAAAGAGAACAGACACACAAAAAGAACGGAAGAGATATCCAGTGAGAGTGGTCAGTACAGAAACAGAGTTCAGCTGGTTAAGGGTCACTCTCCAGGAAATCTCTCTCTACTCATATCACACCTGACTGAAGAGGATGGAGGAGTTTACACCTGTGCTGTTAAAGGTTCACATATAAACATCAAACTCACTTTACAAGGTAAGACACTGCGGGGGGGAGGAGGGTTAATTTTACTGTGCTCATTAATGTTGAGAAATGCTGAAACAAAACATTTTGTTTTTTCTGTAAACTCTTTATGGATCATTCTACCAAACATGTTTAAAATCAGAGTTGAAGCAAAATGTCAGTCTTTTAAATTGAACTTAGACTAAAATCCTTTAACTTTGAGTGAACCCAGACCTTGATTATGTTAAAAAATAAATAATTGACCACACACTTTATCACTAACCAAACAATCATAACACTACTGAAAGATTTACCAAACTTTTCTGTACTGATTATTTCTGTAGTGATAATTTTAGCTAGAACTTCATTTCATGACTAGCAGTCACAACTATGAACAGTTGGACACATAAAATTATAGTATTTTTCATTAAGACACAAAAAAGTTCTTACTTGCAGAAAACATGTTTTGGTGCAATTACCTATTTCTACCAGAGGGGTCACCAAATCCCCAAATGCTACGTAAAGGCCAACTGAGCACCCAACAAACATCTACAGTGGACCATTAAATTTAAATGAAAGCTGTTCTGTTTTATTTTATTTTTTTTACTATAAAATGTTTTCACATAACTTTGTATCTACAGTGAGCTGCCTTCTGATATTGTGTTCCTGCACTGACTGTCAAACTCTTCTCTCTCTACAGAGGGTCCACCTAAAACTACAACATCTACTGCAGTCGTCAAAAGTCAAACCATTTCAAACACTTCAAATTCCTCTCGAACGGCTGATGCTAATAGCAGTACTCTGACATCCACTGACTTCAAGATGTCATTACTTTCTTGTATTTTTGTGGTAATTTTTTATGTCCTCTAAACATTCTTCAAAAAAGAGTTGTTTTTTTTTGTTTCCATTTGCGCACAATGGGAAAGGAGAAACACTGTGAAGTGTGAAAATCTGATGATCTATTGTGTGATATTGCTATTGTTTAAAAATATTTAAACATATTTTTGAATATGACAACACATTCTGTAAAGAGAGCACACTACTGCACTTTTTAATGCACAATTATTTTTTTATTTACTGATATTTACACATTGAGGAATTAAACACAAAATGTGGCCTGTGCAAAAGTCATGACACATATTTAATTTTTTATTCCTTAAACTAACAGAAAATGCTGTATTTAACTTTGTTCGGTGTAGATGTGTTCACTTTTTTCACTTTGAGAATCACAAAAACAAGATGAAACCATTGTATGCAATTGTATGTCTTATTAGCTCTGTTCATTGCTTTGCATCTCTGCAATACCTTCTTATACCTGTTGCTATTTGCACTTTTTTATCACTACTGTGATTTACAGCCTGTCCAAATATTCACACTTGTTCACACATTCATGTGCTTTTTCCAGTAAACACAGAATAAACAAAGAGTATTTCCCTCAACTCAGTGCATTTGTATTGCTGTTCCAGAAACATCAGGGAAGAAAATCATCAAGAATACTGACTGTCTCAAAAGGATACATGACTGATGTAAATCATTAAAATTACAATTGATGAGCCAAAACATGAAGCAAATAATGTTGATCATCAAGGAAAATGTTCAAGTTCTGGGATATATATTTGATAGTAAGCAACAGTCGGTTCTCAAAGTGAACGTGTTGAATGTGGGAGAAATGGGCAGACGTGAAGACCCAAGTGACTTTGAGAAGTGCCAAATCCTTATGGGCATCTCCAAAATGGCAAGGCTTTTGGGGTGGCTCTCTCGGTCAGCAGTGGCGAGCACCTTCTGACAGTTGTCCAAGGAGAGACAAAGCCTGAACCGCTGTAAAGATGTTGGGCACCCAAGGCTCATTAAAGCCAGGGCATAGCTCATACAGCTGGATTAAAAACTACAGATTCTGATAGATTACTCAGAAAAACAGACCTGCCAAACTGGTGAAGAAAATGCTTAACATAGGAAGGTATAACATCCTACTAGTTCAAGAAACAGTAGAACGCAACACTAATGTATGTAATACAATATGGAGTGGATAAAATAGGTTGAGAAATATCTTAAAAGTTAGGTAATCAAGAACAATTCAATGTAATATGGCACAGTTATGTTCCCTAACTAAAATTACTGAAGATTTAGCCTTAAGGGTACCATGCCAGTGACAGTTTAACCCCTTAACAAGGCATTTTTACTTCTATAACCTAAGAATAGCTCCATTAGTTTGCACTGACATCCCTGTAGTTACTGAATAATAAACCTTTGTATTAAATAAACCTGGAATGTTATACACACACACACACACACACATATACCCCCACTACCCTACTACACCCCTCCCACCCCACATACACACACTTAAAATCAGATAAAATGTGAAGCTCAGTGCTCAAGCTGTCTTATGGTATACCAGGTAGAATGGAGGACTAGAAGACAGCAGAGGAACGTATGGTATCACTCTCCTGAAAAACCTGCAGGACTGGAGAGTATGAAGGAAAAAGTAATAAATAAAACTTCAAGGTAACTAAACATAAAAGCAAGCATGTGAAGACATAAAATGAAAAGCTAAAGACATTCATCCCTGCTAGGAAAACCAGTGTATGCTGCTCTGCTGATCATCACATGATTATCACAGTAAATTGGGCTGTGTGTCCTGTGAAACAATGTACCACAGAAGAGCGTGGTGTGCTATTATGACTCAGAGAAAACAACATATTTGCGTGTGTTTTGATCAAGCTGCTGATGACTTCCGGTCTAGCTGATTTAAACACAGCTCCTGTGAGCTGCACGGACATTAGAGTGGGTTAGACTCCAGTGAAGAGCTGCTGAGAGAGCTGTGTACTCAGTGTGGTATACAGGGCTAGTGTAGTGCTGGGTGTGAAGCTGTCAGTGTGCTGT